GTTGCCAAAATGGGACTTGTTCAACCACTTTCCACTTATCATATTGACTAGAATGTTCTATGCTATTTAATGACTGGGTGAACTGCTATGAACGCTAGGTAATTAGAGGAGGTACAGAGACACACATGTCTTTTGGAATATGGTTTAATAGCATAGTCCACTGTGACCACCTAGATAAGAAATATTATTACACATCTGTCCGTTATAATCTCGGCTCTAGAGGTCTCATACTTATCACATAAGTATTCATCTCGATGATTGTAAAATACCTCAAGCATTGTGGGTAGGTTGCTATGGCCAATAGCGTCAAATTAGTTTATTGCGTTTCAGGGTTCCAGAAATGTATAACTTAAATAAATGCCGTAATGTGACATTTGAGAAGTGCACAAAATTTCGTCTCATATAGGGACTGTACCATATCTGGTACGAATTGCTCAGCAATGTAGCATACTTTCGGGCACTAGCTGAAAGAAGTGGCCTAAAGACCTAATGCAGTGTCTCAATTTATCAAATAGATGCATTTTAAAGATTACCAGCATAGCTAAAGTTCTATTAGGGCCGTTTTTTTCAAGTAACCTGTAACTTTTAAGGTCACTTTATATATAAAGGTTACATTAACTTTTATGATTGTGTGTCTAAAGTGAANCGAGTCCAAAACAGCACGCCAGTCATTTCTCTTCTGTGCTAACTGACGCCAATTGAAAATGCCAAGTGAAGCCAAGTCCTTCTCCACCTGGTCTTTCCAACGCAGAGGAGGCCTTCCTCTTCCTCTGTTACCAGCATCGCGGCCCGCGTTGAATATTTTCAGAGCAGGAGCGTTTCTGTCCATCCGAACGACATGGCCAAGCCAGCGGAGCCGCTGAATTTTAATTCGCTGCACTATGTCTATATCGTTGTAAAGCTCATCGTTAAATCGTCTGCGATATTCGCCATCACCAACGCGTAAAGGTCCGTAAATCTTTCGCAGAATCTTTGAAGCATCAGAAACCGATAATAGAAATGCTTAACTTTAGACATAGCTTTACTTTTAATCCAACCTTTAAATATAAAGTTCGCTTTAAAGTTAAAGGTTACTTTACAAAACTTCCCTTAGTATTTTTTTTTTTTGTGTTGGAGAAAAATTTAAAACATTGTACGACATTCGAATATATTCAATTTATTTTTTTTTTTGATTCGAAATCAGATTACTTTTGCAAATGCTTAAGTACTTAAATTCCATGATATAATTAGAGGGATGAAAAAGGTATTGTATACTGTCATATACGTACATAATAAAGTTTCACAACTGTTTTAGTCATACTATAAAAATACGGCGTGCAAAAATACGACAATATACAAAACCTTGTGAACTCCCTAAATATTTGAAGCTCCACTCAATACCAAATACAAAAAATAAAACAAATTACGCCTCTAAAGCTCGGCATCTAAAAAACGAATTAAGACTTTTGCGTTTTTCTGACACTTTGATTGATTTTACGTTTAAGTAATTCTCGACAGCACAGTTACGCTTCACATTTGGAGTACATTTTTTTCTAGCGCTGCTTTTGCCTACTCATCATTGCGCATAGGGTGCACATAAAAGGATAAATACCTGAACATAATTTAACTTCACAAACTTCCAACAAGTAAGTGCTCAACGAGGACCCTTATCATCGGCTAATCGAAATAATTTTCAACAATTACAACACACACGAGTACTTATGTATTTACAACAGGGTGGTCCAAAAAAGTAAAGACGGAAATTTAATGCTCTCCCCACCTAGGATTGTTCTATACCGAAAAATATATACCCAAATTTTTATTTTGAAATTTAAAATTATTTAGAGGTCGCTTAAATCCTTCCATGTATTTTATATGGGATAAAAACAACTTTTCGTAGAAATGGTAAAGAATTCTTGAAAATCAATATTTTTCGATCGGAAAACTCTGACTCTCTTTAGGAGACTTCCAATAGCAATACCCAATTGTTTATCTAACAATTTTTTAATACTGATGATTTTTTATTTTAATAGTTGGACATTATTATTGAGAATCGCCTGAAGAGAATCAGTGTTTTCCGATTCAAAAATATTGATTTTCAAGAATTCTATTCCATCTCTACGAAAAGTTGTTTTGTCCCATATAAAATACAAAGAAAACTTTGAGCGCTTTGAGCGACCTATAAACACTTTTTTATTTTTAAAAAAATGGCGTATTTTTTCGGAATAGAACAATCCTAGGGGCTGAGAGCATAAGAATTGCGATTTTGCTTTTTCACATGCATTTTTGGACCACCCTTATGTACAAGGATGAGCGAGCAAAGTAGAAAGGTGTTGTAGAAGAAGCCAGAATTAAAAAAAGGTAATGCAGATGTACATATGTATGTACTTATGTAGGAAAAACTTTCAAATTATTTAATTGCGTATTATTTGCCAGCCCTGCTCACTCCATCACCGTTATTTGTGTAGCCTTAGCAGTTTTTCCAATTTTTTGTGTCTACTTTTCTTATTTGACGCCAGTTCTTTGTATTTCCTGTAAGTATTTTCTCTAATTTGGAAGATCCCAAGTCGACTTATTAATTATTTATGTTGAGTTTCAGCGTTCCAGTAATTAAACCAAAGTTAACAAATAAAAGCGTAAGACTTCATGAAAGCTCAGTGCTTCCTTACTTAAATATTATTGAGAAATTTAAATATGCTTGCTTCTTTACAATTTGTTTGGATAGCAGGAGCCTTAAATTTGCTTTTCCTTTCGCATCCATAGCTTGTCTTTCTGTGCATGTCATTTGCTTCCGAATTCAACATATTCGCTTTCTTGACCATATACAGCTGATAATGTCAGATAGTCCACACATACAATCATATATAAATGTGAAATGTACATTGAAAACTAACTAAACACGCGCCAATTGCGCTATACTTATTAACGAATAGAAAGAGTGAGTTTCCTACTGAGTGAGTGTCTACGTGGGGTTAGGGCAATTTCTAATACTTTTGAAAATCTTGGTAAAATTGTCAGTAGACTACGGAAGTTTATACAGAAAACGAAGCCTAAAATGATGTACAAAAAGAACTTCTGCGCAAAAATACTTCCGCCCTCTTTTCCGGCAACACATAAAGGAAAATTCTACTTAGTAAGGGTTATAATCCCTAATGTAGGCACTACTTTGGGTTTTTCATATGCATTTTTTCGGTTTTCTAACGAAAGTGTACATATGGATAATTTCGTTTTCTTTTCTAATATGAACTATGAACTTCTATTTAGCACGGGTTATAATATAATCCCTTCTATAATTTTTTTTTTTCAAAACCAATAATGTTTACTAAAAACTTTTTTATTATATTTAGCTTAAAATTATTGCAACCAGTAGAGGTATGTTGTACAAAAACACATATATAGAAGTTCACAAAAGTTGATATAAAACTATTCGTCGGAGGAGGAAGAGGTCCTTCCGTTATGTACCGTTCCCCTCCTGGCACCAACGTCAATGAAATTGGTCGGGAAAATAACACTGTGTGACTACTAAAGTTATAGATCTAATGAAGCACAAAAAATATGCATACTTCGAATTTTGAATACCCCTCAGAATCTGGACTTTCATAGGTTGAGCCTTATAATTGTTCGTAACTTAATTTCTGTTTCTGTTCTGTGATCAAGAATATTTACAGTGCGTACATTAGCGTGGGCCGAAAATCCGCTTTTTTAGAATTTTGATTGGTAATAGCAAAAATATGGTTCATTATGCTCTCAAAACCAATACATAGCCACGTTTCTTAACGACTTGTTGCACGCTCAACTTTTCGTTTACTAAATATACACTCACTCCTTTATAACCGCGTACACCCTTGTTTTTTTTTTTTTTAATATACACAATGTTTTGTTAGTACCATATAAATCAACCCTGTATACAAAATTAAGGAAAATTTAAACAATTTTAATCAAAAACTTTTTACTAAGGTTTATAAAAAAATCTGGTATGTATTCAGTATAACAATGAAAAATATTTCAAGTAGCTAAAAAACGCGTTGATTTTTAATAATTTTTTCCTGGCAGCTCTACGTATTATACTTTATACAATACCTTATATGGAGAATAATGCCTATAGCCGTCAGCAAAAAGATTTTTAAAAATCATTGCGATTTCTTAGAGGGCACTGAGAAGGCAACACTTTTCTGTAGAAAATAAAACGCCATAAAATTCGTTAAATTTTCCTTAATTTTCTATACAGTCTGATTTATAAGGTTTTGTTTATAGCATAAACCATATATTTTTTTTAAATAACAAAAAAAAATATAGCTTGCAAAATATTTAGAATATCAAAAAAAAAAAAAAATAAGGTGTGCGCAAATATAATAGAGTGAGCGTATATACCTATGTACATATGGATTAAATTTTATGGCAGCCATCTGTTTCACTTTCTTTAAAGGCGGTATGCCGGAAACAAAGTTAGAGAACAATTGTTCTAGACAATTTCCGAAAATTACTCCAGTATTCTTAACATTTATGATCAACTCAATAAAGTAACGCACGGCCCTAAATATCTATGCGTTTCTTCCACTACCTCAGCTTGATAAAAAGTATGAGAAAAAATACCTTAAACATTGCTATTCCGAGAAGAGGCTTGTTAAAGTTATGCAGCCACGCCTTCTTATCCTTTAGTTTTCTTGTCAACAAAACGCTATACCTTAGAAAATCATTACTACCTGTACAAAACACATGAATAAAAATTAGGCTTACCTAGCCCACTATTTAAAGATAGAAAGGATTGCCAAGGACAGTGCAAAAATTTAACCAAACATTAAACAGGTAGGTCAGGTAGCGTTGCTTTTGAACAGGTTACATTTGAGGTTGTTAGCAAAAACAATACGGACAGGTACAAGCAGAATTAATCAAGTTCACCTAAAAAGTGCTATAAATACGGTGAACAAGTTTTCTTCCAATCAATGCAAAATCTGCAGCCACGCACGAAATACGTAACAGCAAATTTTATTGAACAAGGAGGCGCGCACAAAGACTATAGAATGTCCAACCTAATCATCAATATCGAAGTGAAAAAATGCGAAGGAGCACCACAAGGCGTTGAATTCATATATCATTACGACAATGGACAAGTTGTAACTTCACATACACCGCCGACATCGTACTACACCCCTCCAGTCAAGGCAGCAGCGACAAAAGTTATAAAGCCCAAACAAAAACAACGATCTCGAACGCATTATACTCACCAGCAAATAATGATATTGGAACGTGAATATCGGAAAGGAAAGTATTTGAATGCAGAACGACGGGCGAAAATCGCCAGAAGCATTGGTGTGCAAGAAAAGCAGGTGAAATATTGGTTTCAGAATCGTAGGATTAGAGGCACCAGATATGGCGAGATCAGCAGCAACGAGAATAAGGCAGAAGATAAAGTAGAAAATATACGAAAAATTGTGCAGTTTTTAGAAGGCAGTTTGGTGGAAGGACTCGCGGCGGAAGGCACACAACAAAGCTCAAGCAGCAGCGAAGAGTTAGACGATGTTGTCGAAGTGATACAGGAAAGTTGTGTACAAGCCGCAACGGAAATAGACATGAAAGAAGCCAAGTTTGGTTCTTCAATGCAGCCAGTGATGAAGTGGCCTCAACAAAGTGCAAGCATTGAGGAGTTAGATGATATTTTCGCAGTGATCCAGTCACATTTTGGAGTTCACTTTTGAGAAAAATGTTTAATGTAATAGAATTTTAGTTATTGTTTAGTCAAAATAATTTAGGTTTATACACGAAAAAGTGCATGGTAATATATTCCATATTGTAAATATGTACTTGAGGAATAAACAGATTTAAAAATTAAATACTTTGTCTTTAAATTTAGATATCAAATTTCTCTTAAGTTGTTTTCGCTTCTAACAAGCTTCTACTTTTTTCTATCAACAACTAAATCCTATATTCTCAATTAATCAAATAATTATCAGCAACTAGAATGCAAGAAATATTGAGCGAGTAATTAAGAACAATGACTTTCAAACTGTTTAATTGCTTGTCCCTACTGACTCAGTTCCTTGAATGTACTTTGGCCAAAAACTTTACCTCCGAGGCCAGTTTTTACATTTCTAGTTTTTACTCTAATTTGGTATGTCCTTTGATTTTTTTTTAATTATTGATGCATTAATGTTCGTAAAAGTTAATGAACGAAGTGTTATTTTCTGTCTAATAAATACTTGTAAATCTACACATGTATACAGTGCGATTATTGGTTGACTTCCAGTCTTTAAGTAATTAAAACAGAATTACTCTAATTCGTTTTTGAATATTCAATGACTTGTTATTATCAGAATTAAATGCGCTTAAATATTTCTTTGCGATTACGTTTGTAGGCACAAGTATTTACTTTGCTTTCCTTGCCGCACCCATAATTGACCTTCCTTTGTGTACAAGCAATTTGCTTCGGGTTTCAACACCTTCGCTTTATTGGTACGCAATATAGCGCTGAAAACGACAAATATTCGGCATCTACATACAGTC